CATGAAAAGGCATTGTGTGCTTACAAGACTTAAGTTTTCTGATTTGACGTAATTTGCATTGTTTCCATTCCCGCTTTTCTGAAAAGCATTGTCATTTCTGAACAACTTAACGCTGCTTGTAACACTTCTACGCTTTAATTTTATTTAACGTCGTTTCTTATTGATTCGAAATGTTTGACAATACATTTAAGGCAATTTCCGTACGATAGGAGATGTTTCGTGAATTGAACACCTCCTGAATTAGCGAGTTCGCTGTAATTCCTTTAACCGAAAGTACATTTCCAACTTCCGTTTATCATTTCATTATATATGCAACCCTATTCTAGATATATCGACATAAGGGTTGTTTGTTATAGTGCCTTATATCTCATATGAGTAGAAATGCGGTAATTGACATGTTTTGTAGACTCACGCACTAAATTAAATACGACATATGTGTGGAAATGAGAAATCTGTCACGTTGCTTCCCAAGAACCTAGTTATTTTATAAAGTTCTTTATATAAAGTGGGGATCTGCTGCCTGTCAACAACTGCCCGGAATGTCTTTCGTGTACACATTATACGTTACTTATTTGTTACTTTCTGCCTGGTATAGACTGACTTCCTACGCTTAAGAAATATCATATCCTTCTTTTTCATTGTAATTGTTGAGGTTAAAGTCTTTTGCGCCGTTTCTCTGGGGACGCTACAATTGGTTGGCATTGAATGGGCAAACCTGATGTATGTAACTCTCAAAGTGCGTTAAATTTTCTGTATTCAGTTAAAATTACCACCCACTGTGGGATATTTTGGTCACGACCGCTTAGTTTTTACTTTATGCCCCGATGAGTACCATTTTAACCCGAGAACGCTTGCCAACAAAAACTTGAATATCATCATGATCTATTTTGGTTAATTTGCATTTGCCAGTCAATATCGCCGGAACTTCAAACTCTGGAGGCTATCACTTACCAATAAAGCGTATTCCACAAGTAAATAAATAAACATTCGACCTACAAGGCATTCGAAATGGCTGCGGGATCGACCGGGAAATTATACATTAATCTCACTTATCAGGAATGATATAAAAACTAGAGTTATCCAAGATAAATGTTTACGTGGGCAACTGTCAAAATATTTCCTTGATCTCTTTAGCACATATATGCGCTAACAAACTTTGTTTTGCGAATATAAAATGTATGTAAACTCTCCTGCTCTCATCTTCGAGTGAAAAACTGTCGTCTCTGGTATTCATTTCATTTGGCGAAAAGTCTCTTCTACTTCTGTTTAGAAGTAAGACACTAACCGACTTGTGTACATACACATTTTAAGCCTTTTTCCATCGTTTGCAGGGAGTTATCAGAGAGGACTTCAATTACGGAGGTCTTGGCGCCTGGTATAAACCACGGAATACGTCAAAGATTTTTCATCTTGTTTCGTGGCTTACGGCTGTTTAGATGTCATTTGATAGATTATCCTGGTTCTTTGCAGTCTGATAACAGACGTTGTTTCTTACACAGCATTTATTCAGAATAGTGATCGTTTTTAACTTAGTAGCCCGCATCTCAACTGTTCCAATTATGACCGGGTTCAAGTGACGTAATTCTACGTAGGATTTAAAGACCTTTAGGTCCGTCTAAGTTTGATAAGCTGAAACTGCACACAGGTAGAGAAAGCGGTATGATTGCGATGTGACCCAAAATATTTCCGTGTAAAATAATTGGATATATTCTTTGGTCGGCTTTGTAATTCGCATGCCCTCTATTGCATATATTTTATCAGCAGTTCCGTATTTACAGGATGTTTTACTTAAGCCTTTATTTGGCTGTCACATTTTCTCAATCCAGAGGGTCTACAGAAAACTTCAATCAACAAGTCTCAATGGTCACTTCGAAGGGTCCATAGTGCTTAAAGTTCGGGTCCGATCTACCATTAGGGAATCATTTTGCCAAAATATCTTTTCAAATAAAACTCTTACATAGTCAAGACTGTCATACGTGCAGATGAATTGTCCCAAAATAATGATCAATTTAAAATATGGATATGTTTAAATTTCGAATATACACAGTATATGATCAAGATTTAGATAGATACACAAGAACAGAAAAAAAAACTCGTTTATGAGTGCTAGCATCTGTTCATAAATGATCACGATAAATATAAAGAATGCGTGTGAACTCACGCAAATTTCCTGCTCGGTTAATAAAGATGTCATTAATTCCCGTAACGGCAACAAACTGGGGGAAAAGCACTCGAGGCCTGATATCTCCGCGACTAATTTATACGAAATGGTTACCCGGTGTTTTTAAGCCTAAGCCAAAGTCAAAGCTCTCGACCACAGAGGATCCACATGGAAACACCATTAAGGATATGGTACGCTCTACCATACATTAAGGACGTCTCAGAAGCGACCAAGCTCATTGCTGCGGAAATAAGTATCGGAATTGCACACTGATCCAAAGCTACTGTATTCAGCAGGGTGATGGAAATCAAAGACCGGTTAAAGCCCAATGAGCAGTTTGAGGTGGCGTATCGCATCCCGTGCCTAACGTGCCCTTGTAATTACACAGCCCAAACTGAACGCATGCTCGGGCCGTGCCCATGTGAACATAAGCTGGCTGTGTGACGGCGCGATAAGTTATTTCAAATGGCTGCTCACGCCTATGAGACGGGCCATGAGCCCAACTTCGCAGCTGTCAGGATAGTCGCCCACGCTAGAAGCAAGACAAGCCGAGAACTGATCTAAGTCTGGGTCTCATATGGGAGTTCAGTCAATCGATGTATCGATCTGGCTCCGGCATACAGAGTCTCGACCAGTTACCTCTGAAATTGCGTTGATGGGCCTGTACCTGTTGTTCTGTCGCTGTAGCTATATCTGATGATGGACTCCTGCACGAGTTACAAAGCTCAGAACAATAAGCAAAATGTTCTGGTCCTCGACCAGTCTCCTTTGTTCACACTAACACCTGAAGTTAGAACATTCATACACATTCGTGAATTCTGCAGTGTTTTTGGTTACATAAATATGACTATAAGTGGACCTTCACGCAGCGTCAGTCACTGCCGCCAATTTCATCACCAACTGGTTTATAGGCTCGAACAGTTAACAGGTACGCGGGAGAGAAAATTAATATTGGGGCCACAACCGAAGAATATATTTATCGGTACATTGCCTCCTTTAATAAATCCGGCACGTTTGAATCTGTCATTACGCACTAAAAGTCATGACCGAAACTGTCTGCAACTGACACCATAACTCAAACCTCGCGGTCAGTCCTGTGTGTTGGATGACTGACTGGTGTACTGAGAGTTAGGCCCAATGGCTCCCTCTCTCCCTTAATGTGGCCTTTATGGCAGTGTTGCGCATGTGAGAGCCTAGCCGTGCATCCACTTTTTTGTGAAATTCTAGTGTATCGTGGCGGAGGGGGGAGCAGGCCGCGTGTGGCGCGCGTAGACAGGCCATTGTGCCCAAACTCAGCATCCGGTGACCGACTTGGGCAACAAACCGATGTATAAGAGGGAAGGGACAAAGAGGTTGACTCTGGGGGCTCCGTTTCAACGATAGTTCAGCGCATTTCTTTACCATAAACAATCTGACACGCTTGTGAGCCATTGCAGTGAGTTAAAATCCGTGCCCTAGAAGGCTTGTATGGCACTCTCGGTCAGACGGGATCCGAGTCGTTCTTTTATTTCTGTGACTTGTTTAGACGAACTGTTTATCTTTGTTAGCCACTGTGCCCGATCCCACCTCCGGTCGTTCTAGCTCTGTCTTGCCACTGTGACCAGGTGGGTGAGGGAAGAGAGTGCGACGCATGCCGCGCAAGTTGGCCCGACTATCACCAAATTCGCGCGCAAGTCTTCGGTGCTGCACCCACACTGTGGGACTCCTCTAGGTTTAAAATCAGGTTAAGCGTTGTATGACCGTGTTCATTGCCACAAATGGACCGAGAAGTCACTTTCGCATGACCTACCATCACATCCACGTGCAGAGGCGCTCTTTTTGTCCTCGGACGCGCATCATTGTCATCTAACCGTTCATCTTCATCCGGTATCAATGATACTTATTGCGTCAATCTGCCCATTAAAGTGAACTACGATGTCCTACTTGTTTACAGACAGAGCTTTTACTTCGAGAAATATTTCCATCCAAAAAGTGAAGGAAATGACCTGCGATCGTGAGCGCGTGATGTCAGACAGGAGCAGAATCCTCCGATCTTGCGGAGGTTCGAGATAAAAGACGGAAATTCAGTTTTGTCGTAGGTTTCGAAAATAATGCCTTCGCTGGGTATGGCCTTATTAGAGTGAATTAGTCATCGAGAGAGTATCCAACAAAACATGGAATGTCCTTAGTATTCAGTTGGTTATAACTCAAACAAGACATTTCCATCCTACTATTAATTCAAAATTTAATTCTTTATCAGTTAGTTAGGGGACACAGCCATCTTAGCCACTCATAAGGACTACACCGTTTCACTTCGGACTAACATTCACCAAGATTATGTGCTTGCAAAACAAAATCTGACTTTTCGTTTGGCCTCAGAGCTTACTTCTTAGGTCCTAGAGGGCTGTCGGCTAGTGACTAGCATTAACTTACCAAAATATCTATCTACACGAAGAGGAACAAAATAAGACATCACTTCTCGCTAACTTCGTGTTTCCTGTCTTAGCGCTGAGCGATGGTTTGATTTAGGGGGATCGGCAAGAGGGTTTCGTATGCCTTTAGCGACGACTCCAAAATGCCAGATGCGATCAGGCATAAGGATGTTTACGAAGGTTCTATGGACTCTACGAACTTCCAGTAAATAACCATTGTGCGTTACAAGGCGTCCAGTTATCCAAAATTCTGAGGACAGATGAAGATGAACTAGAGACCAGAATGGAGAGTTTCGTTTCCTTTTCCGTCGTTAGCCAACGATGCACCGTCCCGAGGTCTGAGATCTTGGAAATTTTCACCCGCTACTCAGGCATGAATTCGGCTGCCGATCAGATTAGTACATCTGTTGCCGACAGCCATCATTGCGATGTCTGGCGTCCTTGTCCAAGGTCCCGATGCCTCAAGGTCATTCACCTTTGCAGAGATCGGTTCCAGACGCGCTGACCTCTGCACCCACTCGACCGACTTCAGCTCGGACACGACTGCCACCCCATCGCCGCAGCCGCGTATGCGGCACCTGAACACACCACCACCGCCTGCTCACAATGCAATAGAAGCCTTTAGGCACACCGCCCATTGGCTAATGCAGCACAAAATTGGACAGCATTTTAACTATATGCTTACAAAAGCGGCTGCCACCACCTGCCTCATTTTCTCTCAGGCACGATCTAACGCCCTCCTGGCCTCGCCAGCCATTACTGCCGCCTGAGAGGGCAACTCAGGTTTCTGTATACAAAAAATCCCTCATTCTGGTGACTTCTATCTTTTCCAACAACTCGAACTTTGGCCTGATGGTTGTAGCGTTCTGAGTATACTCTCGCTTCTCAGACGCTACACGTCTGCTGCGTTTTGGGTTCGGCTTCACTCCCGAATTCATTGCAGGCGGTACCATAGCGACTAATTAATGATCACGACCTCTACTGACAAATTCAACTGTGATAATGATGTTAGCTTTTGCCGCTCATACCTCCGTCAGCCAGCCCCAACCCAAAGCTGTGACATAATATCTCCTACTTGGGACTAGATCAGTAGAAAAGGCACCCACATATGTAGGTAGCGCTCACCAGCTCCGTGATTTAAATTTGTAGGTTGTCCAATTTATCCATAAGCTTCTGAAAGGTAGCGATTTCCCCACATCCTCGGGTAATCCATGTTACCGGTACGTTTTTCTGGTTGGTGTCTAGGTCAGCCAATGGGTCCCCACACTGCCAATGTGACTCTAAGTTTATCTGTTAGGACACGTAGTTTACCTACGTATTCCCGCTGGGGTTTCTGGCGTGATAACAGCCAGTCTATTCCAGACTTCCTTTTCTGACGTTGACGTTAGGTAACGACATTACCCATGTCGAGTTATTGACGCTGTTTGTTGCGACCGTGCTCACTTAAGTGTCTGAATCGTGGTATGTAGGGTTTCTGGAAGAAATTGACACTGCTCAGTATTCATAGTTGCATGCCCACCGGCGCTCGACCCAACGAATGTCAAGAAATGATGACCAGACGACTATGGAACAAGACCATACGTCCTTGTTTGGCTCTCAGGTAAAAGAAGTGCTATGTGGCTGAAAAAAGCATCGTGAGGAAAGCCGCGGCCAATGGTCCTGTCTGAGTAAAATTCTCATCTCCTGCCCTTAAATACGGATTGGAAGTCTGTCGTCTAGGCTATTGGAAAGAACAACGCATTTAGTCTATGCAGCATGCCTTTTGATAACTTGCCGTTTTCTTCCTAAAACACGAAACCTGTCTTCTAACTTTGCAACCTTATTAAGTACGCGTCAATAGTTGAAGCATGGAGTAGAGGCTCGTGTTGGAGACCAGTCGCTAAGTACTCGGTTTTTTGTTTTTGACGAATAAGTAGCTACAGACCGTTAGCATCAGTGCTAACGAGCCGTGGAAAACCGAAGCCATACGTGCTGACTGCAGCGTAAAATTGTATAGAACCCCGTGCCGACAGCGCCCTATGTCGACCATAAACCCCCTTTTGTAAATGCTTCCCCTTACTGCCCTACGAGCTCAAATGGCATCCAAACGTCTGCTTTCAACCTCTGACCCCTCGCGATCGTGCAGCCTCGATCGGTAACCCCGACTAGTACCATGACATTCGTGAGAACCGCAATGTGTCAGATGATAAATGTGCAGGCTACCACATCCGAAAGGCATAAATGTGCACTACTCTCAGAGAAGATGGAACTATTCTCGTGGGGCGGCGCAAAGACCAGTTGTGCAGCACTAACACAGGGAGGGAATGTTTCCTCCCCCCCAGAAATCCGTCTATCAGGCCATGTATCGTTTAGAATACAGGTACTGCAAGCCGTAAAGTGCGTTAGCCTTTATTGCGGGGATGTCCGCGGAAACTCGGTCAAGAAATCGTCACGACTGCTTTCTCTCCCGTGGACAAAGTCTTATTTGTAAGTTGAATACGGGTATCGTCTGGCTATGCGTCGTCAAGGCATCATTTTAGCAGCTTTGACGGTGCGCCCCTTCCCACCCTCCCGGACGCTGAGCGTATGGGCACTGAAGCCTTCTGCAAGTAGGCGTAGATATTAGTCCGGCGTGTCCCAGTGCGGGATTGTCTCGCTGTTGCAGATATCGGAAGGGCCATTAGGGTCGTGTGGGATCATTTAGGATGCAATCCTTCACCTTTGGTTGGTGGGAAAACTTCGTGCGCGTGGTCAAAGTTCGGTCAAGCTCCCTGCACCTAACCGTCCAGTTGCTGTCGACTTCAGTCAGTGATGGCCATCGCACAAAACATTCAAAGACAGATTTGGATGGAAAAGATAGAAAAATCCACTTGGGTAAACAGCACAGACCATAGCATGCTGGCCTTTGATCAAGTGCCCTTCTAGCCGCCACACAAATCAAATTTCAAACGTCACACTCGATGGGAAGTCTTGTCTCAGTTTTAGGACAACTGAAATAGTTTACGTTTCCACCTTTCACGAGTCTTCTAACCTTTCAGAGACTTATTTAAAACAAAATAGATTCATGCATCCGTATATGAATGGAACACACCGGCCTATCAGCCGTCGGATGGAGGACAGATGTCACGAGCCAACAACTATCTGCCAGGCCGTAGTCATCCAACCTACGATAGCAGAGGTGGTGAAGAGGGAGATGCGGTTAGGTGAACATGGAACTATTCCGGACTTCTTCTGACTTCATTCAGTTAATCATAACCCCAACCGTTCGACGTCGGTTTCGACGATGTCCACCCTATGCTCCACAGCAAGGTGAGAGCAAATACGGCGACTTTCGCGGGATCAACCACACTCTCGTCCCCCGTCTGGGTCCAGTGTCATGACTAAGTCAAGAAGACCGAGGGCGGAAGAGGACGCAAGTGGCTAGCACGGCGTAAACCCGCACCTAGGCGTGCCGCCACATCCCCTGGTCCACATCAAACATTTGACCAGGATTTCGCGCACAAGAGTGGGACCGCTCGGATTTCGTTAGGTGGGAGTGTCATAGTGGCCACATTCAGCAGAAGCCATTTCAGCCCGACTCTCAGTCCACCAGTCGACCACACCATATAAACGCGTACTGGGCTGACTGTTGGCAACCTCAATTATAACCCTAACCACCAGGTGGTTGTCTATTCGTGACCTCAGTCACCCATTCAGTTTGCTTCGGGATCGGTTTGCATCAATACCCGATATGCAGCGATAGAGAATGCCAGGTAACGAAGCGCTGATGAATTTCCGTCGGTTTTATTTGACAGAGTCCGTTACACACTGCGCTTTAGCATGCAGTATTAATAAACACTGATGATAGGAGCTACATGAATAATAGTGTTGGAGTCCTGAAATCTCCCAAACCAGCAATTTTAAAATACTGAAATTATCCATCGCTGTCATATTCAGCAAGACAGGGAAATAGGGATCCCCATTCCGGGGAACTGCGCTCATTTCCAGGAATATCGATGTTGGTGTTGCGGTCAGGGTTAGGGTTTGGACTTAAGTTAAATTATGGGCTGGGGCCAAGGTTTGGGTTAGTGCTAGGATTAGGGTTAGGACACAGGAATATTAACCCTTACTGGAATTTAGCGCAACGCCACTTGCATTCCTATTCCCGTGTCTTGCCTTATATGTTAAGTAAACTGTCCTACATGTCAGTATTACCAATCAGTCCGCCCATCTTTCCGAGAACCAGAGTCGAATCCATTGAACCCACCGAAATAATACGCACTACTTAAGTCTTGTTATCCACAGGAGAGTACGAATTGCAGTTTGGGTGATCTAACAGAACCTACTACCATTGAAGCCCAGCGCGGAATCAGATAAGGAAATCTGAGGTGCGCAAGCTGAACAAAATTTGAACTTAGCCAAATCGAGAAAGTACCTTGTTGGCGCTAGGTCGCAGTAGTCTCCGCCTCCGAGACTGAATTTCGGCCGAAGCAGGCTGACAATGTCAGAACCGCTTGTCTTCTGGTCGATTCTTCAGTTGTTGGCTTCACAACGCTTTACAGCTCCATTGAACGCAAACCAAAAGAATTCTGGGTTGTATGACAAAAATAGTGCTTTTTCTGATATCACCCCCGCGTCCGTGAGCGCTGCCTTACTCTAGCACCGCTCCCCAACGACATCACAGACTTGGCCGACGGTGGGGAATCCATCTCAGGGCAAATCAGCGTATTCCTCAACAATATGAATCTGATGCGCTTAAATACGTCACAAGGCGCTGAGCGTAGTGGCTTGTGAGATTGCTAACTGACGGGCTAACTCGAGTCAGGTTGTAATGGCTTTTGCGTTATGTGACCTTTATGACATTTACGCCGATGTAAGATCCGAGATCCCGCTGAACGAAGTCTGGTACGCGCAGTTTCGAACATTCAAAAGTGACACCAGATTGTGTCTCAATAAATTAAGTGGGTGGAGTAATCTTAGCTGGATCGAAATTAAACATGCTCGCCGATAACGGCAGTCTTTGAGTGAAAACCTTCGACCAATAAAGAATACCAGGCAAAGTCCCTAACGGCGGACATCCCAGTATCAGTATAAGGTGTGGTTGCTGAAGCAAACAGTTTGAGCTTATTGTTTTATCGGTTAACTTTGTATTGTTAAGTTTATCTCGTGGACGACAAACGTTCACGCATAATATGATGCAGGATTTCGTTTGTGATTCGGTAGAATACTCTTCTAAACACTATTCCAGCTCGAAACGGTTAAACTGGACTATAAGAAGTCAAAAAATGTCGAAATCCTGACCGAGGTTTCAGCTTCAAAGCCAGCAGAGAACTCGCTAAGAAGGTAATTTTCCTGCCACTAATTACAATGTCACTCGCACAAAAACAGGTAGAAAATGTCCTGGCCAGTTTGAACTAATAAAAACAGGACAGGCACACTAATTGGCTAACAGCGGATGCACAAGACTGCCTCGGTCGAAGAAAACAGGCGCCGCAAGTCATCAAGAAAGAGTTTGTTGACAAATTGCTGCACGAAAGCTGTTTTGTTTTCGTTTAGCAATGAAGTCGAAATGCATCCCCACTTGGCAGCGTTTGGCTAATCGCGGAAAAAATGGTGCTGGAAAACCTGGACGAGGTCCGAGATCCGACTCAGACCCGCTCCGAACGGACGGGAATCATTATAAGTAAATTTTAACAGTGTAGGTCGAAGTTAGACTCATCTGAAAGTTTGTCGACCTTACTCAGTTTTTATGGTAATTGTAAGCTTCTGAGAAAATGGTACAGACTACCCTATTTTGGGCGTCTCCGACCACCCTATTTTGGGCATTTATGGTCAGAGAAATTTCCGCATGATTCTCAGACAAAATACCCATGCTGTTTTTTAGTATACAGTAGATGTGCTAACTCATGAAATGTCAACCAAAATTTCGAAATGCGTTCTCGTTTCGAAAAGATAAATTGAGTAGTGTTGTAATACTAATCATGATGCAGCATAAATCTATAATGATCCAGTTATCTCAGGGTGTCGGCTTTCGAAAGAACTTATTTTCGGCTGCATGCAAGATCTATACTCTGCAAAAAATGACTACTTAAGTAGCAGGCAATTTTCTCATTGATTTTCGATGCCCTTGAAAATTCAATTATATTTCATGGAAAACATGCATAAAAATATTCATTCTTTTACTTATTCGGTATAAAATCGCGTCTTCTTCCATTTTCATACACAAATGAAGAGTATAATTCGGTTTTAAAAAACTTTTCTAATTCCCGAATAATTTTGAACCCGACCTGCTGTTACACTTGCATTCAGGATTTCAATACTACAAGCTGTATATTTTCCGTGTACGGAAAACCATGCATTTCTCTACGGTGTTAAGAGGAGACCATATGAGGTTCATAAAATTAAGCAGTGGATTGGCTAATCGCGGAAAAAATGGTGCTGGAAAACCTGGACGAGGTGCATCCACAAATAAATGGTATTTAAGGGATCCAAGGTTGGTGATACGTCTTTATTATTGTCACAAATTAGTTCGTTTAGAAGACGGCAATAGCCGACAGTCGAACTGCACATATATACCTACCTTGTGCATCGAACACGTGTCCGCAAATACTATTTAACCTAGTAAATGCAGGTTTTCCCGTCGTTTAGTATTCATGTTACAGTGACTCTTCAACACAGCCTTTAACATCAAATAGGATTGCTTATGGACGACAACTTGGCAGACGGCTGGCTTTCGAGTGTATCCGGTTCTGAGGTCCCTATTAAATATGAATGAAAAGGTAAAATAGTATAACAGAGAAATGAATGCAGAGGACCATTACTAAATATAAGTAGGTAAGTCTGTACATCTGAAACAGTCCGCCCGGTCGCGGTCAAACTCATTGTTCCAATTCATCCTTAGACTCTTCACCTCTTGGTACAAGAGATACCCGTTCACCATCCTCGGTAAGAAGGAAACGTTTTTTGCTGCGCAGAATCTTCTCGAACTTTCGTTCAAGCCAGTCCTCGTTGTGTAGGGCCTCATTAAACTGGGTTGAACTTCGGAAGATCTTGAAAACCTATCGTAAAGTCGAAAGAACCGAGGTTGAGTGGTGAAAAACGGCTAAATTTATGCGGAAACGTTAAAGCTTGTAGAAACTCTAGTCAGGCACAGTCTTGCCTGCCAGCCCACTCGTGTGCTGCCCAGCGTTTCTGTAAATGTCTTGAAGTAGGACATCTAGAGGATTCAGAATCTACAAAAGATTCCAGTATCAAACCTTCAAGGGTGGCTATATACGATTGTAAAGCTACTGAACTTGAAAAGGCTCACCATCTACATGAACATCAGAACCAGCCAACTGTAGACAGATATCAAATAATGCTTAATCCCTTGCATTATCTCGACGAGAAGAGTCTCGGTTAAACTGCCGAGTGAGGGTGACGGACTGAGTTGTATCACATCAGTTGCGTATTTCCCATGATGGATGCAGAGCACGAAAGGAATTCCTTTAGTGGAGGGGCGCTCACCGATCGTTCTTGTGGAACTCACTCATTCTGTTGTGCCGTAGGGGCTCTCTCTCGAGCCCAACCAGCAGCCGCACAGCGGCGCATGATATAGGCAGAATGTCATTACCGACAAAAACAAGGGGGACTGGAGTCGCCATTTCTGGCTTATTATCCGTCGTCAGACAGACATACCCAATCCCGGGGTGTGCAACACCTGCGGCTCAAACTCGTGACCTGTTCGTTAGAAGTCCAACGCCTCTAACCACTGAGCCACGGACAACGAATCCTTGTCTTTGTCGCTAAGGAATTCCTTTTTAATGGAATGGGGATGCAGTCAATTAAGCTAATTCCGCAGACCGCCCATGGAAATTTGGTATTTGTAAGTTCTAAAGTTTTGAAGGCAAATTATAGGTGAAACTTTAATACCATCTCGTATGGTATGTCCTTCACTTCCCTTTTAGCGAACTAGTTCGTGGTAAACCGACTGGACAGTCTAACACCACAAGTATGGGCGCTATTTCCTTAATCACATTTGCTTTTGCAGTTCGCAGTTAGAATGCAACACTGTTCGTGTGCGGGTGAACGTACTAGACACCAGTGATTGCGCTGACCATGCTGACGAAGGACTCCTGACCCTCTCAATAAGCGGATTACTGAATAAAAAAAAACCTGTCAAAAATAAGGCTAGGTCCCCTTCTTTCTATTGGACGCCGACTCGACAGTATTTAAGCTGCCTTTGGACTATAAACCATAATAGGATAGGGATCAAGAGCTCATTGGCAGAAAACATCAGCTTAAACTCGACCGGCTAGAAATGTCACTCCTGACTAGTGTAGACGCAACTCTGATTGCCCGACTTACTATGACCTGAGTGGCTATTTGTGCAAAAGACGTTTCAAAATAAAGGACTTACACGCTTTTTTAACTTTGTTATTCTTATGGGTTTCTTTCCAAGTATCTCAGCGACTATTGCTCCCCTAAGTGACATCTGATTTTGTGGCTCTAAAAGCTGGCAACTCATTGGAATTCATACCCGTAGAAAAGTCGGGCGTGCACGTCACTTTCGAAGCGTCGGTAGACTGCGAAGCAATACGTTCAGCGGTATCTTTGCGTTGACGTTTCTTTGGTGGGACTTCGGAAGAAGGTGCATCTTTCCGCTTGGAGCTACTGGATTTTCCTGTTGCGGCAGCTGCAGCTCCATTCTGAGGTACACTGATGACGTTAGAAGGGGCACCTTCACTGTTGCCTTCATTTACAGATTTACCCATGCTATCAACACAGTCAGCAGGAGGCTTGTTTATAAACTCCCAAATTTTGCTGATGTCGTCGTCCCTAGAGTACTTGAAACATGACCTCAAAAAATTCTAGCGAGTAAATAGCTTCCCAAATTTGGAGTTTACTTGAAATTTCGCTTTCTTTTTTGGAACGTTGCTGCTGTCCATCAGTTTTTTTACCATAAGATTGATTACTCCTTGTTGCGCAGGGAAGTCAGACAGCCTAGAGTGCACCTGATCAGTCCACTCCATTTGTTTATTCGCGCCTTTAGGAATTTTTTGTGAAAAATTCGGCTTGTCGTATTTTTCTTGCTCGGTTATACACGATGTGTGCGAAACAAATGACTGCCGTCTACGAAATCCAAATAAAAGACAAATCACGTACGTAAAGTCCTTAGAGCAATCTACGCAGGAAACTGTGGCATTTCGACAGTTATTAAAATGCTGTTCCACGTTTTTCTTCTTGATACTCTCATTACACTTTCCACAGACGAACACCACCATGATCCGCGCAGCAGACTGTAACGACCTACAAGAGCTCGAATAAATAGGAGCTACAGAAGCCAATACAATGCCATGTGTCAAAAACATAACAATGACACTTTCGTAACGTAAAGGAGTATAATAACACCAGGGAATAGTAGGTGGATGCCAAATATTAGTGAGGGCAGAATGGACGATGGCGTTTATCAACGATAAGGTTCATTTGGAAACAAGGAAATCGCGGCCGGCTGCAAAAGGAGGCCGGTGATTACATGAAGACATTGCCATCGGTCCCGCGTTAGGATGCAGGCGAGTTCGCGGGCCCAATGCCGCGCCTCGAGGGCAGCACCGAGCGTGACAAAACGAATTGTTGTTCTGCCCGCCTGAGTTTCACCGTAGTAAACGGCCAGTCGGAAGCAAAAAAAATCGCCTAAAAATCAGTGGATCCTGAATATCTTTTTGTTTTACCGCTAAAATGTGTTCGGGCATGAAAGCCAGCTGAGGCAGAGTACTGTGGTGCTAAACCGAAATATATAGAGGGGTGGTTGGGGTAGGGAGGTTGGCAAACAGCACTGCGAAGCAAGCCAAAATTCAGCTATCATTGAAAACTTGATATGCGAAAATAACCTGATTTTAAAAGTACACATACCCTCCAATAATAAGAAGGGCTTGAAAAATGCTCATACGTCAGGGCAAAGTTGATCGAAAAGAGGTGAATAGCGCTGAACATCGTGCCAAAAGCACCGCAAGTCAGGGTCAACGATCCATTAGGCCCACACGATCACACCGGTAACAGAGGAATAATGCTAGCAAAGTTTCGGACGGAGGCAGAGATGAACTGAACACGAGACATTACAAGAGAACAATTGTGTCGCGTGGTTAAGACCGTCGTTGTAAATGTCTATCCTACACCTATGGATGCAAACGGCAGCAGTTCTCTGTGTCGAAGGATTGAGTAAAAACGGTCGACTTTTCTTCAAAAACAAGATAATGGTCTGGTGAACGTCGGTAAGTCTTAATAATTACAATATACCCTGCCAATCAACCGCACCCCCCCCCCCCCATTCGTATGGGCAGGACGATGCTGCGATGGGCGCCTAACGCACCGGCCACTTTCAATTCTGCGTCAAGTGGACAGTTTGGCCGGCGCTGTCGACTTTTTCTTAACTTTCACCGCCTCTCCCCACCCGATGACAATATCAATTGCTGTGTCACTGCGTGCACTCCCCTTTTACTGCCGATTACTCCACCTTGTTTGGGTAGCGCCTTCTGAACGCCCGGAAACAAAACTGATATCATTAGTATTATTATTATTATTATTATTATTATTATTATTATTATTATTATTATTATTATTATTATTATAAGGACACCACGTGTTTCTCCTTGCCTGCTGATCGCGAGGTTTTGATGGGTAACCACGGGGGATGGCTGTCGTGACAAATCCAGAAAGTTTTCAATGGCCAGGCTGCGTTACGATCCGTTCATGGTGCAAATGCCTGCACTAAATCTTCGCGCATTTACCTATAACAGGCTGCAACAAACAAGCAGCTTTGACCTCCGACTGTTGGTGTGGCCGCTCCCCTAAGTCCTTGGAAGCTCCTTCAAGCTTGACTGCCGATGGCCTTCGGGCTAGTATGGTGTACGCCATCGGCGGTGATCCAACCGTTTCAAAAACCCTATAGAATGGAGCTACATCAAAATCTATAAGGGCACTGTTGCTGACAGATAACATGAACATTAGGCTTTTCTCCATCCGCAGACAATAAAAGGACAGTTTAAGGAGTTCCTCGTCATCACACCAAGGATTTGACTAGCCCTTTCACCTAGCTAGGTTGATATTCAGTCTATCTTTATCATTAATTTGCCGGTTCACACACCACCTTTCCATAAACATGTGCGTTACGTTGTCCAAATGTCCCAATCGTCCACTACTGAACCCTGGGGAAGCCAACTTAACCACAGCATGATCATATTTCTCTTGACTAGGGTATACAACCTCGTGCCCAGGCATGAACAGATTATCGGTCCATCTAAGGAAATTCCCCGCAGACTTCTGACTTGAACATGTGGATCACTAGCTCGCCTAAACTATCGTTGAAACGCTCAAAGATATTAAGGTGCGTGTGTTTGCTGTGTACTCGACAATTTGATCGTCGATTTCGCTGACGTCCTCCGTGTGCTTCGCTGCAGAGTGAGAGCAGCGGTGATAACCTATGCGTTATTTTAAAGTGGCAGTCTTCCTCATTCTCTCTTTTGCCATTTGGCCCCGGTTTCAAGACACAATCAAGAAGACCAGATACTGGAATGGACGCAGGTGACGAGGCGGTTGGCCATATATTGTTCTTATCCTTCTGTGGATAGGTGGGGGTAGGCTTTCAAACCATTCTCTACGATTACTTTACCCCTTGCGGTTCACTTCCTCATAACCGGTTCTGACGCCTGCCAGCCCCAAATGCTCACTTGCCCAAACACGGCCTTAATCTGCTTAATATCGTGCACTCTCAGAAACAAAAACTGTCTTTTCAACCCATCGACGTTGAATTTGCGGCGGCTTATCATTGTTTCATTTATCTGTACTCCTGCATCTGGACCGCCGAGTTGTCTAGTCTGCCTCATGAGTGCTGTTAAACATACATGCGGTATGTCGCATAGCATTCGGCAGCCATTGTATGGGATACTTCGTTGTTGTCCGTGCACTAATTCCCTCTCGATCCCCTTGCAGATATCGGACAGATCTTCATAATTTTGCTCAATGTTAGGCGGCTGTTTCAAAATACTGATTCCGCCAGCAGGGTCTTTCTTGTGCCATAACGGATGAATCTGAAGACAAAACCATCAGTGTTTCGCCCTAGGGTTTACTGCCTCCGCCTCTATCTGCAACCGCATGTTAGGATAGATGGCATCAATCTCGACCCATGAAATGACGTCAGTCCAGAAATGGATGGGTAACACTGCTTCGAATATTTTCAGTTTTAATTCTTTCATATGAAATTCGTACTGGGCCAAACAGAGGCATTCAAAAACCGTCGTTTGCTGGCAGCTAAAGATTTTGCCCCTGGGAAGACCGGTCAGGGAACGAGACCACGAACTCCATCACCACGGTAGATTAAATACGTCGAATCGGCACCCAAAATATGTGGAAGATTTCTAACAGCAAAAACGAGCAGTATTTCTCTTAAACAAGGAATAATTTTGCAGGATTTTCGCATTCCTGGGTAATTTTTTCCAAACAGCAATTGCGTCCGCAGAAAAGAAACAACGATATGTAACGGAACGTGCCAGAGGAACAAATCAAAATCCCCCACGGTGACTATTACATCGGGAATAGTCAAGGTTTCTTAAAGTGGTAAGCGGGTTGAAAGTACGTGTTTAGGATCTTAAACGGTAAAATCAGTGCCTTTTGGCCGACGAAACTACAAGGAATCAAGACGTGTAAGCCCACAAAGTTCTTGGTATAGCAAGTATTGGCGGTCCAAGGTCAACATTCCCCTGGCAAAAAAGTTGGACGGATTCTGTCTTCTTTCGCTCAGCAGTACGCATGAGGCTAGATGAAAAGCTAGCAGTATTCCAGGCCGGGTCTGACGTATATTTTGTAAAGGCGAATTCTAATATTGCTAGTTTTGAAATTATCCCGGTCGTTCTGCGTGCTTTGGTGACTTTCAGGACGCAGTGCTCTGAAAGATTAAGACTCTTGGAGTATGACAGGCCCAAGCTCTTAATAACTCCAGGCGCAATCATATCGTGACCGTTAATACTTAGTTGGGGCTGGTGGTCATCGCCGACCATCATGACTGAGCATTTACACCATGAAAGAGAGAGGCGCCATGTGCAGCACCACTGGGCAAAGGCCTGTAGGTCGCTCTTTAGGAGTTCGAGCATCATGCCCCGATCTGCCGACTTATACCTATACGAAACTTGCAGGTCATCGGCATGCATGAAGGACTTGCCATTCTGAAATAAATTTTGCATGTCGTGGACAAAAAGACAAAATGATAGCGGGCCAACTACACTTACATTGGTTGCCTTCCCTCTTGCTTATTGTCTTACATTACAATGTTTTCTCATATGTAAAAGGGCCGTCCGTCATTTGCTCATGACCATGCCAACAACCACCTCTTTTCAGCCACAACTGTCGGTCCCTATCGGCTGCGCATTCCCGTTGACTTTGACCCCGGGCATATTAGCCAGCGGCGGTCTCTTCGACTAGTCCCAACTTGGTGATTACTAATTCCTTGTTTTCTTTGCATTACGCGGCTGGCTTCCAGCTACTATCTTACCGCTGACAAACCATTGTGAAAGATACTCATTTTTTACTCTATTTCTCAGGGTTACCTAGTTCCTCGCTGTGAGTCCTCACACACGTAACCCCGATATAAACAGCCCTTAAGACCTACTATACCGACTCCTTTTTGCTCATCCTGTTTATTTAACCCACCCTAGCCCGCAAGTGGCCTACGAGGCCGGTGAGTGAGGCGAACATGATAGTGCGGACAGGATAGGCTGGGGGTGTTGAATGGGTTATCGTTGTGATGCTGCTAGTGGCGGACGCGCTGATTGATGGGAGCAGATGATTAGGCTGGGGATGGGAAGAATGATGGGTGTGCAAGGTGCGTTAGGCGTGTGGATACTGCGATGAATTCCGCTGTTGTGCATACGCATGTGACCGGATAGACCCGTGCGGTGTACGAATGTGCGTGGATAGTGTGAGCAGTGACGACGGATGCACTGACTGTATGTGGGGTTACTGGTTCTGATGCGCCAGTCGTGATGCGATGGAGTTGCAGGTGGGTGTGACGTGCCCAGTTATTTATCCCCGTGACGGTCGCAATAGGTCGCCCACTTGCTTGCAGGTGTAGACTACGCCTAGCGTCCACTAACTAATAATAATAAATGTACTTAATGCCAGATTATAGGCACCGTCGGGGAAATATCAGGCATAAATGCGGCCAGCAGTGAAAAAAACTCCTGATAAATAAATAAAGAGGGCTGTGTTTTTGCATAGGTTGGAGGGTTCAAGAGCAAAAAAACTGTTGCCCACGAAACGACGACAGTCAAGAAAGAGAGCGGTAGAACGGCATATGATATCTTCAGT